AAAAAAAAAAAAAAAAGTGGGCAACAGGAAGTTGAGGCTGTGGTGAGCCATGATCATGGCCAAAGAATATGAACACACCCTTCTCAAAAAACCATATACTGAACGGGCAGGGTGGCTCACGCCTGTAATCCCACACTTTGGGAGGCCAAGGTGGGCGGATCATGAGGTCAGCAGATCAAGACCATCCTGGCTAACACAGTGAAACCCTGTCTCTACTGAAAATACAACAAATTAGCTGGGCGTGGTAGCACACACCTGTAGTCCCAGCTACTTGTGAGGCTGAGGCAGGAGAATCACTAGAACTTGGCAGGCGGAGGTTGCAGTGAGCCGAGATTGCTCCACTGCACTCTAGCCTAGACAACAAAGTGGGACTACATCTCAAAGAGAAAAAAAAAAGGGGGGGCCAAGTGTAGTGGCTCATGCCTGTAATCCTAGCACTCTGGGAGGCCGAGGCAGGTGGATCACAAGGTCAGGAGATTAAGATCATCCTGGCCAGCACGGTGATACCCCGTCTCTACTAAAAATACAAAAATTAGCTGGGTGTGGTGGCACACACCTGTAATCCCAGCTACTCAGGAGAATCCCTTGAACCCGGGAGGCGGAGGTTGCAGTGAGCCGAGAAATTTATACAAGAATGTTCAGGCCAAGCATGGTGGCTTAGCCTATAATCCCAGCATTTTGGGGGGCTAAGGTGGAAAGATCACTTGAGCAGGAGGAGTTTGAGACCAGCCTGGGCCACATGACAAAGCCCCATCTCTATTAAAAAAACTGCAAAACTGTAGCCGGGGTGATGAATGCCTATAGTCCCAGCTACTCGGGAGGCCGAGGTGGGAGGATGGCTTGAGCCCAGGAGGTGAAAGCTGAAATGGCTGAGACTGCGCCACTGCATTCCAGGCTGGGCAACAGCCAGACCCTGTTTCAAATTAGGAAAAAAAAAAAGTAGAAATGACCCTAATGTCCACTAACTGATGATCGAATAAATAACATGTGGCATACATGTACAATGCAGGACTATCTGGCAACAGTGCGGTACTGACACACGTGCGACATGAATGAAACTTGAAAATGTTTCTGCTCAGTGGAAGTGGCCAGTCACAAAAGGCCACAGATTGCATGATCCTATTCCTATGAAACATCCAGAATCGGCAAATTAGAGACAGAATGTAAATTAGTGGCTGCAGATGACTGGGGGATGGGTCCACAAGGGCATAAAGATGGAAATAGCAGACAGTGGGGATGCCAGAAGCCGGGAGGGTAGTGAGGTTTGAAAAATTCCCTATTGGGTACAATGCTCACAGTTTGGGTCATGGAAACGCTAGAAGCCCAGTCTCCCCGTTAGCATGCAACACTCCCGTGTAACAACGCATGTACCCCCTGAATCCTTTTTATTTATTCATTTATCTCCAGAGACTGAGATATTTTCAAGCCCCCCAGCACCCCAAGGCAGAGCATGAGGCTCCTCTGCACGCACAGCGTTCCCTCCAGCCCTGCCACGCACCTACATACATGACGGTGCCCCGGCGAGGGGACTGCCCGGCCGCCCGCACCTCACAGCGGCTGCCCACCGGGATGGAGCTGGCCTGGGCCTTCTCCTCAGCGAGGCGCTGGGCGGCCTCGGCCTCCTGCTGTGCCCGCTCCTCCTCGTTGTACCTGCCGAGCTTGCTGCGCTTCAGGAAGGAGCGGACCGTGTCTGTGGGCGGAGGGGACTGGGGTCAGCTGGGGTGTCGGCTGGGCCTCTGGCCTAACACGATGACGCTCCACCCATGAGGGGCCCATTCATAGAGGAACTCTCTCTTCCAGGTGACAAAGGGCTGTCACCCAAGCCCCAGGTCTCCCAATGCAGTCTCAGCCTGTCCTAGGACTCCAGGGCCCCCTCACAACCCAGAAACGGAAGGGGTGCGGCCGGCGTCCCCCACCTTGTCACAGGACCCATGCTCTCATGTCTTCAGCCACAGCCGCCTTCACATCCCGCCTTCCTCCTCCACCCTCCTCCCCCACTGAGGCCCCCGGATTCCCAACACTCTGATCCATCCCAGGTGCCCTCACTGCCTGCCACTCTGTCCACTCACATCCCACCTGTCCCGCCCTCCACATGTTCCTATCTGACCCCGACTGCTCCAACACCCAGCCCCCACACCTACCCCTCAACCCCTCCACTTTCCCGGTCCTCCACCCACCACATCTGACTGCCCACACCCAGACACCTCCCAGCCCTCATTCCCACCCCAGACCCCGACCTGCCGCGACTCCCAGCCTTACCCTTATATCCCCCCAACCTCCGGCCCCCGCTGCCCACACCACTGGCCTCCCTGCAGCGGCCCTGTCTACCTGCCTGCTCCCTGCCTGCACATACTCGCTCTGGCCCCCACGCCCCCCTCACGCCCTCCTGCCCGTACCTTGCCTCTGGTCGTAGGCTTCTTGTGAGATGGTGTACTTCTCCACCCGGGACACGTCCTCATACTCACCAAGGCGGGCACCGCTGTGGTCAATGACCTGCGTGAGGGGAGGGGCTCGCTGGGGATCAGGGTCTGGCCAGGGAGGCCTGGGTGCAGGGACATCGGCGTCTCCTATCTGGGAAAACACAATCCTCTCCCTCACCCCTGCTACGGCCTTCTCTCCTCTCCTAAGCCTGGTGGAAGGTGGAAGTAGGTACATACACTGGCCACCTCTTCTTCCTCACCCCCATCCAAACTCCTGGAGGCTGCGTCTGTCCCCAGAAGTCCCCCATATGCTGCCATCAACGTCACCAAAGTCACGAAGCTCAATTGACAGAGCTCAGGCCTTGCCCACACCTCTCGGCCTGGCGCATCTCTTCACTGGGCCTCTGGGACTCTCCTAAGCTGGCCCCAGCCTCAGGCCCCAGAGCATCTCTTCCTGTTCTGCCCCCAGTATCCATTCAGTCACTGGCTTCTGAGCTCCCAGGCACCCAGCTGGGCCTCCTGCTGGGGATACAGTGCAAAAACCAGACTCGCCCTGCCCTGGAGCTGTGCTCGCTGTGCTGCGAGGAGGCCGACCGCAAAGGAACAGGTACCTATAAAACACCAGAGCGCGGCCGTGACCCCCGAAAACCAGAGCTCGGCCGTGACCCACGAAACACCAGAGC